CTTTAACGGACATCATCAGAGCGAGGTAACATCGTCACCAAAAAATTCAAGCTAACGAACTCTGATGATGTCTGTCATATGACGGACGAAAGCTTAGCACCTTTTAACCGGAATCGAAGGAGATTGCCTCGGAAACAGCATCAGCATGAATCTTCCAGTAAAGCCAATCGACAGCTGGTCAAGAGGAATCCGCCGTCATCTTCTGGTGGAACCGACCTTTGAATCTCTTCACCCAACACTTCCACTCGAAATGGAAGTAAGCTCAACAACTATGAAACAAGAGATTGCTCGAAAATCAACTTTTCTTCGTATATATTATGCAACTTTGATACTACCAGTAATGCCTGAATAAGAAGCTAGTCTCCATTAGCTGTTTAAGATGAGTTTTTTTCACGATAATCCGAATAGGCCTCCTTTTGCGAATGCATTTCCCCTAGCCCTTCCTCTCAAAAGCTAATCTCACTAAAGCTCAACTACAAGCCTCATCAGCACGAGTTTTGAGTGTCTTGACGACTTTGCAACTCCATTAACGTCTATTGGTGCCAGTGATTTATAACGCAGAAGCGATATTTAAGAGAATCCAGGCCTGGGATTGCCGAGTAAACAAACATGTATTTACCATTTCAATTCCTTATGTTACTTAATTAAGAAATGAGTAGTTTTCGATTCTGACTAACTGCCTATAAGGCATCAATCGCGGCCCAAATTTGTTCCATGACCGGCCCATAAATAATGATATGGCTCATGCAATAGCCTTAGCTAGGACCAATTTACAAACATTTTTCTCATTCCTTCAGTCGTCTAGGCTTAAAAGCCCCCACAATTCTCTCACATTATCTGAAGCCCTATGTCTGACTTCATTTTGAAGAATGAAGTGGTGATGTACCGCTTCTGAATTAAATAAGACATACTCCTCTTTCCTCTCAGGTTATTCGTCCCACCTAGGCCCAAATGTCTATTTCGTTCTGTGTGCATATTAGCTAATAATATCATTAGACACCAACAGACACGCACACACTCGAGTGAAAGTAGCAGGATAAGTATGAAAGATAATTAGCCAAAGCAGTTTTTAATTTTCTTTTGGCTTAACTGAGTCTATATAAGAGGTAAGAAAAAGTCGGATAGACTTCTTAACCTAGTGTTAACATTTGACTTTTATAAGAATGACACCCAGCTCTGATGATGTCCATCATTTGATGGACGAAAGCTCAGCACGTTTTCACCCGAAA